GCCACGCCCGCGGTGGGTGGGGCCACGCCCGCGGTGGGCGGTGCCCGGCGGTAGGGCTGTGTCAAAACAAACAGGGCAATTGATGTAGGCGGTAAAAATGATACATAATACTTTAATAAGCAAAAAGAAGAAAAAAAGACCAAGGAGTGATGAGCGTGGGCTTTCCGCGGGGGCAGAGCAGGGCCGCGCGCCCCCGTGCGGTGCCCACGGGAAGAGGGGCAGAGACGGCAGAGCCTTGGTCTAAGGACAATTCTACATAAAAGCCTGAAATATGCAAGGTTATTCTTGTGCTGTTGCCGCCTTCCAGAGGGGAACGAGGACGCGGGAAACTGGACAGCTGTGAAGTTGCTCTTCTGGGCGTTTCACTGGCTGCATCGCCTCTTCAAACATTTACTGTGTACCAGGAATTAACCCTTTGCTTCCAAGAGCTGCGTGGCCACATTCTGCCTGTTCAGGGAGAAAAACTTCCAGGAAGGTTAAATTTTCAATTCACTGAAGCGTGCTTTCATGATGCATATTAATCTATCATAATGCATGTTAATCTACCAAGTTTAGGACACTGATTACAAACACCGCGTGAAATCAAACTCCTTTTCTCCTGACTCACGGAAAACAGACATCTTTTTCAAGCTGTAGAACAATTGCCTTTAGGGATGGATCTTCTGCCCAGTTAACTCTGCTTCCAATTATGATATTCTATAAGAAAGAAAGATTATTGGTTAAAGAAAGCCTTCAAAAAGGACTACTCTGCGTAAAATCTCTCAAAAGCAGTTGTTTTTTAATTTTTATTTCAGAAGCCCTTGAAATTCACAGCAGTGTTTTAAGTTGGCAGGATGGGGGGACAGAGGAGATCGTTCTAGATCCTATTGTCAACACACAGGCAAAAAAACCCAAACAACCCAAAACCCAGTCCTTTGAATTTCCTGGAGGTGCTTGCACACCATCCCTATTTTAAACTTAGGAATTGAGGGGATTTTTTTTTTTCCCCTGTAAAACTTTACATGCAGTAAAGTTTGCCTCAAACACAACACAGCACAGTTAACATTCTCACCCTGCGGTTCTGGATTGAAAATGGGAATTATTAAATTTAACCAAAGAAGATTTGCTCTATTTACAGGTCAGAAGATTTCTGGAATACAAAACCAGTACAAATCTAATCTAAAACCCACTAAAATGTTTAATTTCTCGTTCTCAGTTTGAGATAGTAGTAGCATAGCACAGCATGCAACATAAAAATATGTGGCTCTTTTTCGGTCCTTGAAATTCTCCTGATCATCCAAATTCACAGCATGGTTACATCCTGTCTTCTACCTGAAGCCCTCCAATATGTTCTCTCTTTTCCTCCTTCTAAAGTTTTTAAATAAACTTTGTGCGTGCTTAACTGGGATTTCACAATCCACTTGCAGATAAACACAAGAGCATTGTAACTGCAATTTACCACTCACTGTGCCTCCCACCTTCATGCCTAGGTCACCAACCCGCAGGGCCAGGCGAAGGAAGGCTGGACAAGTCACGGAGGGAAAGGCAGAGCACCAGACTGCAGCACAGCATATGTGACCTTTAGCAGAGCCCCTCCGAGCAGAGGATGCCACAGGAGGCCCTTCCACCCTATCCCAGCTTGGGGGTTTTCTTCCTCACTTTGCATGACTCCGCACGCCAGATGACCTGCCAGTCAGCGGCGCCTGATACGTGGGAAACCGGGAGGCTGCAAGCTACACCGCCAAAAGTATCTGGAGACTGGCCACGGCTGCAGGCCAAGGCTTTCGCAAGGCTCCTGCGGGCGACACAGACAGAGGCACGCACGTGCTGGGGAGGGGCAGACCGAGGAGCAGCGGCCTGGCTCACCAGTATCACGAGACTCAGACCTACTTATTTTTCCTAACCACGAGATGGGGGAACTGATTTGGCAGGGTGTAGGGCTGGCTCTCAGTGTAAGGAGATATAGCCACTGCTGTGACAGACATTCTCTGAGAAAATGCATTATTCTTGTACCTTTAAGGGAACGAGGCAATAAAGATAGGTTTATAGACTGCCTCTAAACTCTGTAACTAATTATTCCAAAGGATATTGTGACAATTTCATGCTTTTCACCTTGAAAGCAATAAAGTTTTCATTTCATACCGCCATTTTCCCATTACCATCCTTACTTAAAGCTTTTAGAAAACACAGCTTTGTTTGAAGTTACACTTACCATACACTATGTTATCTCGGCTATAATGCAAAACGGCAAATTTACTTCTAAAATCTAAAACACATTACCTGGAATACATTTTGAATTACAGTAGTCATCTTTCTTTCTTTTTGTAATTTATTATGTATCTTCTCCAGCGCTTCGTTCACTTTCATACTTGCTTGTTCCTCCTTTTGTTTTCTGATCATGGTATGAATTTGCTGTAATTTCTGCTGTCCGGCTTTTTTTAACACTGTTCCATTATTAGGAAAATGAAGCGTTAAGAAGTAGTTAGGTGAGCAGTAGAACTAAAGACATGCTTTCTTCCTCACAGACATCTAAGGCACTTCCACTGCAATAACCCTAACTTCACACTCCATCCCTCCCCTACGACACACCTCCAGATATTCCTTTCACACAAGAGGCAACACGTGCTGTGGCTACCTGGTGTCAGTCGACTGGTTCCCTGGCCACTAGCAAAACAGAAAGTACTTTGCATGCTGCCTGCATTTCCACCAGACATGGACAATAATTTCAATGTCTGTCCTACGGCCTGTCTTCAGTTGTCACAACTTTTATTGTCAGAGGCGTTTAAAACCTTTTTAGCTTTTTCAGACTTGGTCAAAAGCAAATGCCAAAGTCATACAAGGGACACACGGACATCACCAGTGAGTATTACTACTTTTTTGTAGGAAATCAGGTTAAAATTAGACTGAATAAAACCATTTAGGGACAGTTCATACATTGAAAGAATGCTGACATAGCATTCCTTCCCTTATTTCTGAAGATATTAAGGATGCTCATTTTTCGTATTAACACAGACATTTCATTGTGTTTATTTGTTGCTGTCAACATATACACCACTTCCTATGCATGAAACAAACAACAACTGTTAAAACTGTTGGCAAATCTGATCATATGACCTTATAAAGTTCTGAAGATTGACTTCACATCTAAATTTGACCCACTCTAACAAGCCTACCAGACACCAACATATGTACTATTACAAGAGTTCTTTGTAAGTAAATTCCCTCCCCTATTCTACAAACATTTCATAAAGGTGCGTTCAGACAAAAAAGAGAAATCCTTTGGGTGTTGTAGGACTGATTTAAATTACTAAATGCTGTGTAATTTTCTGGGGAGCTTACACTAAATAATGAAATGCCACCACATTCTTTTTGAGTATCTTCTTGCATCTCTCATTCCAACACGTCAGTCTCATGCTCAAGGAGACAACACATAAGCTCGTTTTTACAATACTTCCTACCTTTTCAGAAGTTTTATAACTATGTTGAGAGTTTCGCAGTAACTTCAGATGTAAATTAATATTGCTACAAGAACTTTAACATACAAACTGTACATTCAAACATAAACCAAAGTCAGTATAACTAACACACTTACACAATCTTTTCCTTTTAATGTCGATCAATTTCTGTTCCTTCTCACGTGCTTGCTGAAAGAAAACAATGAAGTATATTGTAGATGCTTGGCTCCGAAAAATATTGAAAGATGCCAATTCAATCCACAAAAGAACTTCAGGGCAGCTCCAGAAGCCGACTTCCTTACATAGTCACTTCAAGTAATCGTTTCAGTCATTTTAGCACCAGCAGAAACTGCACCTTTGGGCCACCTACTTAGCTTCAAACGACTTGTGCAGCCCTGTCACTTTCACACAGTTCACCTGCCCACCTTGAGGTCTGTAGACCCGCACAACTGCAACAGAAGCTACAAGGGCCACTTACCTGCTGACAGTCAATTATTGCTGTGCTGAGCATTACTATGTGTTTCACAGTTTCCATGATCAGTCTAAGGAAGGAAACACAGTTGCACACCTTCAGACCGTTAATATGAGTCAACAGCATAAACGTTTTAATCAAGGTTATTTGGATTAAACAAAAAATCCCCATTTTCCCTAACACCAAAATAAAGCATACTTTATTTTTTTCCCCAAAACAGAATCCTTTCTTTTTTACAGTTATTATACTATTGTTGCAGGGACCAAACAATCCCCTTATTTCCCTCCCAGTTTCTCTGATTTTTCAGTTAAGCCTGTCCAACATTTCAGATCACAGAGCTTGGAAGGCGTCAAGGAAGCCTACCCAGCTGAGAATGGCTAACAACTGGAGCTCCTGAATTCTGGTGCACGGCAAGGACATGATGGAGATGGGATGTTTTCAGCTGCATTTCTGACGAAAATTAAATTTCTCATACCACACTTCATACACGTGTACCCGTTAATATCAGACAGGAAATTAAAAGCTGATTTTGAACATGTTTGAAACTTTCAGGTTTTTTTCAAAGACGTTAATCTCTTCCATGATTAATTAACGAAGGCAGCAAAGCAGAGACAAGGCTCCGTTACAAGCCTGTAATATGTGCTCAGCTATTAAGACAAAAAACTCTTAACTACAAACAGTTCTCACTAGTGAATCAAAAATTATGATCTCTGTAATCAAAGGCTGGTTAATTCAGAGCCCAAATGTAAACCCACCAAGGGTATAAAAGGTCTGATCATGCTGGTTCTAGCCAGGTGGACAGAACATCATTCAGTCAAAACTAGAAGAAGGAAGCTTGCCTTTAAAAAAGGTACAGCAAAGTAACGTAGAAACATGTCACATTAAACTGTGTAAAGTCCATTTCTTTCTAGCCATCCTTTCTCCAAGAACACCTTACCGTGAGTCACTGTCATTTTGCTGCATTTTGTTTCTCAGGGCAAACGTAAGTTGGATCCTGCATAGTGTGGGGAAGAAACATGTAACTGACAAGAAACTGAGAGAAGTAGATTTAGATTAGTAACGGAAGAGATGTTTTCAAGGTTTCATTTATGTCCACTTTCACACTGGAATTACACATATAAAATACTCAGTACCTTTTAAATATCACAATTATTAAACAATGCAACTTAACTCTCAGGACAAGTAAGACTTATCAATGAGTATCTGCGAGAGTGACAACTCCTCTGTCTCTCGCCAAACATACTCGGACACCATTAACCCCAGAGTCTGCAGAAGGGAAGCTGGGCAAAGGTGGGAATTCAGCTGAGCAGCTGTGTAACATGGGAGGTGTACAACACCTATCAACTTCCACCTTTTCACAGGCATTTGTAAAACACTGCCAAGAAATATGTTTACTGATTTATACAGTCAGACATTCACAATTTTGCAGGAACCTTTGGGTTTACACATTTCAATTTGTAATTTTTTTTTCTCCTTTACGGTATCTCCATTTGCCTTTCTATTGGTTCAATGGTACTAAAATCTCTTGTGTCTGTAACACACACCATATCACTTTGAAATCCTATTTTAATCAGAATTATGTATGTGTCCATGAATGTAAACAAACAGAAAACCTCAAAATCAACAGGAAAAAATTATACCTTTGCAAGGCTAATGTCTTGTTCTGGAAAGAGACTTTTACTTCCTCCATATCTCTTTCCAAATCTTCTGTGGTACTGAAGGAAGAAAAACAAAACCCCAAACAGTGTGAGGACAACAAAAAACTGAAAAGTAACATCACACTTTTAACTTGCTCCCAACATGTCTAAAGTAAGAATTTTTCCTATAAACCACCAATTATTAAGGCCATGAGTATTTTAGCATGTGGAGCTATATTAGTGACTTCTAGCCATCACAAGAAGGACTGCAAATTTAGAAGCCACATCAGATACAGAACTTCATTAGGAGACTGAGTAAAATATTTCTTCCCCATATTTTCTCTTAATTTCCTGTATTTTCACCAGTCTCGTGCAAAGTGCTTATCACTAATCCAGAGATTTACTAAGAAGGAGTAACTAGAAGAGAACCTCCAAGTTCAGTTCTCAACCCTTCTCCTCTTTATTTTAAAATACGTCAAATGTTTGAAATTATCCAATGACATACCTCCTGATAAACTTTTCTCCAGTGGTGTGATCAAGGTAACCTTCTTCACCTGCAACGAAAATACATCACTAAAAGCAGCACAACAGAGACTTTTTAGTATAATCTACTGAGCATAAAAGATGAGCAGCTGGATGGCTATAACAATAATAATTATTATATTATTATTAAATTATATATAATAATAACAATATTATTGTAACAGCAATTCTTACTCCTATCTCCATGCCTTATCATCTGTTCTACTGTCAGCAAGACTACACCATCAATCACCCGTACGAGAGAAAGAATTTGGCTTTAAAATATTTCCACCTAGCACTTTTCAGACATGCCAGAGCTGGCTCACAGCACTGCTCTATGTATGCAGCTGGCTGGGTCAGCAGAAGAGGGCATGAGTAATGGAAATGCAATGGGAACAAGAAGAAACACCTTAAATCCCTAACGGTGCCAAACAACGGCTCTAATCTAAAAGAGGGCAGATTTAGATTAGATATTGGGAATAAATTCTTCACTACAAGGGTGGTGAGGCACTGGCACAGGTTGCCCAGAGAAGCTGTGGCTGTCCCCTCCCTGGCAGTGTTCAAGGCCAGGTTGGATGGGGCTCTGAGCAACCTGGTCTGGCGGAAGATGTCCCTGCCCATGGCAGGGGGGTTGGAACCAGATGATCTTTAAGGTCCCTTCCAACCCAAGCCATTCCATGATTCCCCTTCCTCCCCATCGACCAGACTCCTGAAAACGGCCATCACGTGCCAGAGAGTTCGGGGGGTCCGAGGTGAAAACCCAAACAGAGAAAGGGCAGGGGGCAATAACCACAGGGCAGTTCCACAAGCATTCCCACCCGCCCCCAAGAGCCGTCTAGAAAATGCTGCGAGACGCTCTGGTAAGGAAGACGCTTCATTGTTACAACGAGCGCTCCCGATAAATAATGTAAGTACACCCGGTCCGCAGGTCGTATTATTTATCACTGCAACGCCACACCGAGGGGAGCGCAGGGGGTCAGGAGCAGGGGCGGGCTTACCGGCGTGAACCGCAGCGCTGCACTCCCTGAGCTGCTGCTTCATCTGGTCCC